GAGCCCTTGGGTAAGTCTCTGTACTCTCAAGGCCAGCTTCGTATCCCTGCTGTGGTACCCAACATGTCTCTCAGTATTTTCTCCTGCTCTGTAGCCTTGCAGAGCTCAAGGTATAGTAATTGGTTAAGGTCTCTTTATATACCCAGCAAAGATTCCAATTTTGCTCTTTTATCTTTCTCCATATCCAAACATCTCTATTAAGTGGTCACCTAAATTTTGTGGATGTTTTTATAAGGATTCAACCAAGACCTTCAAACGTTTTTGCAAATGTTTTGCAACGAAATTTTTTAGTAATTTATTTCTCTTGCTATCTAAACATTTTAGTAAAAAGAAGTCTGTGTCATCTTGCTCTCTGTATGAACATTTTTGTAAAGAGACCAAAAAAACCAAATTTTATAGAAATGTCTCTCTCTTTTTGCTCTCTATCTAGACATTTTAGTAAGGAGTCATTAATATTTTTATCTTTTTGTGTTTTCATCAGCCTGACACACAGTACTCCACATTTGAAGATGAGCATAAGTCATACTTTCCCATAATGGGAAAGGGATCCATGCTTGACATTTCCTGCGCTGTCATGTCCTGCTCCTCCCTGTGCCTGATCCATCCTGTACCGTCAGAGATGGAGATATCTGAGCCCATCCCAGTTAAAAATAGCTTAAGAGCTGTTCAGTCCCTCTTAGCCTCATGATTCCTGTCTGTGATGCCATTGGTAGGAGTGTGATATTTGTTGTAAATTCTTACAGGTCTAAAGGAAGCCACCAGGCCACACACTAGGGAGTTCTTGTACTTTATTGTACAGTTGCTATAACTCTGGAAACCCTCACTATTAGACTCAAAAAGTGTTGGCTAACAAGCCCTTCATTTTGTATAGTAGAGGTAAAAAATATGGCCGCCGTGCTTTGCCCAGGCAAAGCAAGGGATGAGAGAAACTACGGTGGAAAAGAGAGAGAACAAAGAAGTTCTTCATCTGTCGATTTCTGCCATTGGTCCTCCTGCGTGGATGTCCAGAGTTGGAATAGTGAAACAAAGAGAAAGATAAGAAAAAAGTGAAGGAGGAGGCCTGATGTGCTTCCTTTTCTCGTTAGCCTGGTGCTGTCTCTTTTGTAAACAAGATTTTCATGCTGTTTTGTTTGCACATCCACAGGCAGCACTTGGAACCTTTCTCTGGGAAGTCAGCTTAGGGGGGGACTGAGCAGGAGCAGGAAGCTGGCTCAGAGCAGTGCTATTCCATTTCCATGGGACCCTTTGTTTCAATCACACTTTTCCTGTCATAATAGTTAGAATATTTGAGACAAAACATACTTATGCTTAGTCCTCTATGGAACTGCTTCTGGAAATGCATCAATGTTTCTTTGGGTGAAAGATAGGAAGTTACAAAGTAATCAACACTGCGTTTTAAACTGTAATCTTTAATACACTGATTCACTAGTCCAGTCTTAAGATCTGAATTCCTAAAATTATTAGTGAGGGGTGTGTGTGGAAAGAAAGTTGTGCTTCGGTTCAAGGTTGTAATGTTTTTTCTCTCTGTTTTTTTGTTTTTAAGGAATAACCATGGTTTAGTGTCACACCTTTTCAGAATCCCTCTAGAATGTGTAGTAAATCCAAATCTAGTGCAAGTCTGTTTAGTAGACTGATCTTTTCCCATAACAAGGGCCTACCTCTTAAAGAATTTTTTCATGAAAATGACTTCTGTTTGCCATTGCATACAAATGTGTAAAGCAGACACAGAACATAAAGTGAGAGGAGTTCTCACTGAATTACTGAAACCATGAAAAGTATGTAATAACAAAATGTTTATATTGGGCTTTGGATTATTAGACTTCTTGTACATTTCAAACCTTACAGTTCAAATAAACTGCCTTTTCAAAGCCCCTTTTTAACAGGAAGTAACTTGAAAATTGAAGAGTATTTTATTCCATGTATTCCATGTGGGACAAAAATAATTGTAAAAAGAATTCATAATAAACTTGAAACTTTCACATTTCAGGTGTCTTTTTTTGTTTTGTTTGAATGTATAAGCATGCCACAGAGGAAAAAGGGGGTAAAAACCTCTCTGGTAAACTAAGGAGTGGTTGTTTCTGTCACTCAGGTAACTGGGGCTCAATAAGATGCACATTAGTTCTTTGATGGCAACAAGACCTCATGTTCCTCATTTCGAGAGAAGTGATCTTTTGCAGGGAAAATAATTTGTCTGTTTTAATAATGGAGCTTTGAAATAATTAGATGTGAATGTAAAAGCAGTGTAAGGAGGGTTGTATACAGAGCTTTGCAGATCCCAGAATGATTCAGGATGCTTCAGTGAAGACTTGGGCTTATTTAAGTAAAGAAGATGTACTAGTTTCTTTTGGCCAGAGTAGAAGTTGGCTTCAAGCCACTCTGGCATTAACATGATGTTAGAACAGTTATGTATTCTCAGGCTCATTTTTAGATGGTGAAATATACTGAAACACTAGTGAAACTAAGGAACTATGATTTGCCATGTCTTTATTTATTACTGAATTTTCTTTTTAGACTTGTAGATACAGTAGTGTATTCTTCACTCTTACGTTATGATGAAAGATTACATTTAACATTCTTTTGTCTTGACTTATCTTTTTCTGTCCTTTCTCATTTATGTGTAGTTAGTGCAGTCTAATAATACGGGATGCATACTAACAATATTGCATACTAACGATATGGGAGTGGGATGTGAGAAATAAAATAATTGTATGCAAAGAGGTTATTGTGCTTGCCTTTTTACAATCTTTTGTTGAACAAGATGATGTGTTCCCTTTGCATGTTTGGAATGCCAGGAAGATATCTGAGCCTTCTTACAAAAATGTGTCAATTCCTAAAGGCTGTCATTCAATGAATGAACTACAAGTACATATTGCCCTTTTTTTTTCACTTTTACTGGAGGGGGTAAAAGTATTTAATTGTCTCTTTGCTGAACGAGGTTTAGCTTCAGTCTTTGGCTCTGTGTAGTAGTTTAGTAGATGTGTTTGACTGTTTAAGAATATTGCTTTCTGGAGATTTTTCAGGAGTGTTTTCTGCTGATGGCTGGGACAAGCAGCATTCATGAAAAAGAGGGTGTGTGTATGTCAGAAAGTGGAAGCTATTTCTTTTACCTATTTTTTTTTTTTTTTTACTCTAGTCCTGTAAATTTAATACATACAAGCTGTTTTTCATTCTTCTAATGGGACCATGTTACAACCATGAGAGGTTAAGTTGTAGATTACCATCAGTTGAGACAAACCTGTTTAACTGAACAAACTTAAACTTCCTAGAAGCTATGTTTTGTGTTATTGTAAGCAGCAGACATGCAGAATTTTGTGGACTAAAATATTTTCTTCTTAGCTGACAGAATCATAAGTTTTAATTAGGCATTATGTAGAGTGTGTTGTATTTTGTAACTAACAGACTTGTATACTACAAGCAAACTAATTGCTAAATTTTTGTTGTTTCCTAAAATGTTAGAATATTTCATATACTTCATAGTGGGTTTCCTTATACCTCTGAAAGCTGAGTACTAAAGGTTGATAGTTGATCTGATTTGCTTTGACTCATGTTTACACTAAGTGTTTTCTTAGGGAATATCTTTCTTCAGTACTTTACCATAAATTTAATATGTCCTTCTCATAAACTAACAAGACCTTTGGTGGTCTTGCTTAGTAATTAATTTTTTAAATAATAAACCCTTGCTCATTTTAGAGAATTCTTGCACACTTCTCACATTCTTTCAAAGAATACAATGTTTGGTTATGCTGATTGCTCTAGAGAGTAAAAAACATACAGTAAATCCTACTTGTTTTTTTTCAGAAACTGTTACATTAGTCCTTTACTTTTAGGCATCCTGGCAAGGTCAAATGCATTAGTGTTCACTGTCAGAGACTGTCAACAGTATCAGTTTTTATTGCTGATAACTGTATTAACAGTTACTATGTGCTGCAATTCTAGTAGTAACAGAATTAATTTCCAAATTATCAGTGATGTGTTGGAAGATCACAGAATTGATTAGACTGGAATAGACCTCAGAGAGCATTGAACACAACCTCTGACTGAAGACCACTGTGTCAGCATGTCACTCAGTGCCATGGCCAGTCTTTCCTTAAACGCCTCTGGGGATGGTGACTCCACCACCTCACTGGGCAGTCCATTCCAATGTCTAAGCACCCTTTCTATGAAGAAATTCCTCCTGATGTCCAACCTAAACCTCTCTGCGTGGAGCTTAGTCTTAAGATTATGTTGCATATCTCAAGAAAAAAAGCTTATCTTCTAAAGGATGCCGTAGGAAATTATTTCAAGAATCTGATGCTAAAGAATCTTTTCTTTACAAAGGGAGATACTCAAGAAGTTTGGGTTTCCATTTAGGCTGCATGTGTGTTCCTCTGCTTAATCTCATGTCACTTCATTTCATTCTGCAAGACCCTGACCCACCGACATGTTGAACACAAAAATAAGATTTCATTAATATGCGTAAACTACAAACTTATTCTGGGGCTTTTTTTTGCTTGTTTTAGATTTATAGTTTGGAATGGCATTACTTGATTTCTACTAAGCAGTTACTATTTGGTGGAAGGATTTAGTATTTTTTGTGAAGATCCTAGGATGAGACTTCATTCTTTTAAAGGTCTGTGGAGTATTAGGTATTTGGAGGTTCTTTTCAATCTGTTAGGCTGCAGCTTAATGCCACTTCCTGAGAAACGTGGGACATATCATCCACATGCTTTGGAGAAACATACTATTTTTTTAGCTCTTCCATCATGTGTCTGTTATTTGGTTTGCCAGTTGAACTCTGCTCTAGTGGAGGCAATACAAGTTGTAAATATCTCTATAAGCAGTGGTCTCACTTGAGGGAGGTTTTAGTTTTCTCAGTTTCTTAATTGCCATTTCCTAATTTCAGAAGAAACTTTCAAACTTTCTGTGTGGCTTGGAAGCAGTAAGGCTTAGTTTGGCTGGTATTAGGTTAGTGTATTAGTTTTTAGGCTTTGTTTTAAATGTTGTTTTTGTTTTTAAATCAGGAGCCAATGAAGTCGAGAGCACCACAGCTACATTTGGAATACAGATTCTACAAGCAGCTAGGATCTGGAGGTAAAAAGCAGTGTAATGCATTTTACTGTGATGTAATCCAAGGTCAATTTTTGGCTGAAGTTTTCTGGTTTAGAGGTGTAAATCTATTTAATAAAGTGTTCCTAACTACTTAAAGCACAAAAAAGCCCCAGGAGTTAGTTGACTAATGTATAAATTCCAGTATTCTAACTTTTTTTTTCTATTCTATAAAGTGTATGTATGAAGTCCTGACTATTTAATAAATCCTACCTATGACAGTATTTGTCTGCATACAGGTATACCTTAAACTAAGTAATCTTAGACTATTCTCAGTACAACTCTTTGAAAAAATACTGTAGCTCTCCAAACTGCTAATGTACTAATCACATATTTTGAATTAAAGTTGATGTGATGTTTAAATAGCTTCAGATTTAGTTTTACTTTACTTCACTTTTGTTGATGCAGTGTATATTGCTGCTTACTAGTTTTGAATCTCTTAAATACCTGTAGGAAAAGTTTAATGAAGCTTAATGCAGTTTAATATTTGAATTTTTTCACGTCACTCCCCTTGGTGCTTTTACACCCAGAAGTACTCTTACAGTCGTTGCCTGAATGATCCAATTGTCATCTTTTGTTCTGGTAGGTGAGCGATACCTAAAACATCTTACATACTTTTTGCCTTTCACAAAATCACATATAGTCAATTAGGAAGATTTGAAGGTTCTTACCCTAGTAAAGTGAGTACAGATATTCTCTAAATCAGCTATAACTTAGGAAAAAGAAGTCTTTTGACATCCTTTCCTTGAAATTATTTCTAGAATAGGTAATGTAATTAACTATTTTTCCCAATTTCTTTACTAATGTAGAAGTTTATTTTATGAGTGTACTAGTAACAGTGTTTTTCTACACGTGTGTTCAGGGGCATTTTAGCAAAGGCAGCCTGGAATTTGTAACAGTGATTTTAGTTTTGCTTAAACTAGAATAAAATCCTGTTTAGTATGAAAAGTTATCTCCAAAATGAAATACACAATGGACATGCCCATGCAACTTTGATTTTGTTACCTTGAATGTGTGTGTATTATGATAAATTTTAATACTTTTTAATTACTATTTTCACCTTTTTCCTTAAAATTTGGGATGATATGCTCATTACTCCACTGACTGGATAGTGTTTCTCAGGTAGCTTTCAAAATTTCATGCTACTGTTTTAGAGACTATATTACTTTTTTAGAGACTATATCTGGTGAAACAAAGTTTTTAATATGTTCAGTTAATATAGACTTTTTTGTTGCTATACTATGAGTGCTTTGCAACTAGGAATTTTTAGAGACTTCTTTTGGCAAAACACAACATTGTCAGTTTCTTTTCCTAGATGGAAAATGAAGTTGCAGATAGGCAGTTAAAATTTGAAATCTATATGCTTGCTGTTTGGAGAAGGTAATCAGAGTATGGTGTATGGGTGTTTTATTGTAAGTAGTTATAAATTGTCAACATACCATACACTAGCATTGTGAAATAGCTGATGAGTAGAAAGCTGAGATCTTAAGTGCTTAACTAATGGGGCATGACAGCTCACAAGTTAGATGCATTATCTATCTGTGGATGTAGAGGTGTAACTACCTAAAATTGCAAAGGAGCTTTGTAGTGGAGGTAAGAATAAAGCTGTAATTTCTAGTTCAGACTGCAGAAATTAGGCAGTTCTTCTCAGAGGTAGGAACACTTACAGGAGTATTTCTTGGGAAAATGTCTTAGTGGGTGTAACTATGTTTTAGTTACTGAATATGTTTTTATTTACTGAATAAGACTAGGAGCCGCGTTTAGTGTAAGAACATAGTCAAGTCAACTAATATTCTGCTTTGCTTCAGATATCATTCAATCTTCTTTAGCCTGTTTGCTGGCAGCAATAACTTTTATCTCTTTCTCTGATGCCTTGTTGAAGTACTGAAAGGGAGAGTCACCTCTGATTCTTGGCATGAAGATGAGGTGAAAATGCAAAGATAGAGCTGGTGACTTACTAAGCATCATCATTATTTATGAAGAACTTTGTTATAAACCTCCTTTGTTTTTGCAATAACATGCTTTTATTCAAAAGTAAAAGCCTCTCCCAGCACAGAACCTTGAAAGCTCCTTTGTGTGAGACTTTCTCAGGCACTCTACTTGGGGCTTATTTTAGTGGGTTTTGTGGCAAAGGCTTATAATGAAGAAAGTAATTTTCTTGTTCCTATCTACAAAGAAATTTAAAAAAAGATTCCCGATTCCTTATCTTCTGGCAGAAATCTCTTTCTCTGTATTTTTAGGAGTTGGGCCCTCAAGCTGGTGAAGTTACATGGCCTCTCATTTTCAGAAAAAAATTTCCAGTATTATGTAGTTTCTATTCTCATGTAATCAGTGACAGTTGGTTTTAGTTTTCTAATTTTTTTGTGACATGCATGTTTACTGTCAAGCATGGATTTAAGTAATTTTATCTCATGAACAGTTGAAAACATAGCATTGGAAAGTTGATCCACCAAGTGATGAATTCAGGAAGCAAGTATGTAAACCTCCTATGTAAAACAGGAGATAGCAAAAAAAACCACCAAGTGTGTCCATATAGACAGTATTGCTTTGTGGGCAGTGGTGGTACTTTGATCAGAGGGAGAATAGATTGAAGGGAGTGATCTTCAGTATGCAAGTTGCAGAAGAGTCTGTCCTAGGAGATATAAAAATAGCTGCCACTGCTGGGAGAAATTTGAAATATAGTAATTATGAAGATAGAAGGTTTCTCTGATATACAATTATGCACCATACTAGGAGTTTCAGTTGGCTGAAGCTTTCCATCTTTTAAACTTTTAAAAATCCACATTTGGAGGCTTTCTTACAGTGAAGTAATCTTTTCCATAGCTGCTTTTGTTTATTCGCACAAACTTGTAGTAATTTGGATGATAGCTTTATAACTGTGTGGACTGCATATTTTGTATTTAGTTGTACTAAACTGCATTTCCACTTGTTCTCCTCACATTCACATGTATACTTGTATATTAATAGCAAGTGGTTACTGAACTATGGTTTCAGAAGCAATTGATGAAAAGAGGATTGTACTCCCAGTACTCCTTCCCAGTCTTGTAAGCAGAACCGTTATTTTCTATAAAAATCCCATGATTTTCGCGAATAAGAACTACAAATTCGACAGTTTATGCTACAAATTGACTTGCACTTGGTGTGAAATAACCTGAAGCTTAAGAGATAAAATTCCTGTTGGCCTTGTGAAATCCCATTTGACTTGGAGGTGGCAGGAGGAGGAGGAGGGAGAGGCATTAACATGTGAATGAATATTTCTAGAATAACATTAGGTTATTTTCTGGCAATATTCTCCTGAAAGCAAATAAAGAAAATATTATTGTGATTGCAGATTATTTTATTTTCAAACCCTTTTAAACAGAGCATCTTTGTACTTCCTCTGATCTGTTGTTGATGAAAAGAGTAGCATTTTGAAATTGTATGTTTTCTTGGTATTTCCTTATCTGCAGCGAGTATTTGTATACAAAATCTGTTTGTTTTTTATAATATCCCTTTTTCTTGTTTTTTTAATGACCTTGTAGCTTGGGTTTTTTTAAAAATATATATTTGTATTATTAATCTCTGTGCTAAGTCATGCAAAATGTTTTGTGTCTTGAATGCCATGAAGATGGAAGGCATTCTTGACTGAAAAAAGATCAGAGAGTTCTTTTATAGTTCTGCTTACTGAGAGAACAAGGAGAAAATAGGCATGAAATATGATAGATGTGCAGTTTTTATACACAGGACTTTGGAGCTGACAGTATTAATTCTTTCTGTTTAACAAAAAGTGGTTTTGTCTTGCATGAATAAGAATTAACATTTCAAAACTGTATTCCTTTGGAGAGGATCTGCTAATAAAGAAGGCTTAACTGTAACTTTACTCTTCAATATGCTCTTTGAAATGTCTTTGAATGTGCAGTAATATGTAGGTGTTTGTCAGGAAAATAACGTGAAGAATCTTTCTTAAAAAGCAAATACTTTCAGTGCTTTTGGGCTTTTTGAAATGTTTTTAGTTTTTTAAGGAAATGAGCCTCAAATTTATTGAAAGCAGCTTTTAAAATTAATTTAATGATGTGGCTTGTTTTAGTCTCATCATTATTTAGCTTTCATTTAGGTTCTATATGCATATAGAGATTTTAATGAAAATTGGTTTTACTTTTCTCTGATAATTTTGTCATTCAGCAACTATGAGGGTGTTTTCCTCAGGAATTTTGAGATCATTAGTCAGAATGCAGAAGTTTCCAGTCAATTGAATGAGGAAAATATGGATGGAATTTAGAATATTTTTGCTTTTTATAAATTTTGTTTAATGTGTATTTTCTTAATATGCCAGTATGAGTTACAAGAAAAACTGCTATACTATCCTAAGTGCAGTACTCCAAATACAATGATTGCTGAATTCTTACCTGAAATTGCACGAAGGCTTTTAGAATTAATAGAAAACAGTTTTATTCTTTTTATTGATTTTTGAATTCATCTTTTATGCTATCAGCCTTTCTTTGCATGATTAGAAGGTAAGGTGTAGGTGTAGTTCATGCACTGTGCTGTAATTTAACTGACAGGTATTTACAGTATTTTCCTTTTGCAAAAAGGACTCTGTAAATGAAAGAAGTTACGTGTTTTTATGTGTTGAAGAGTGTAAAATCTATTCAGATTTCATAGTCTCTTTCATTGTCTGTTTTTTCTAACCTCTCTTAATATATTGGTCATTATCATAATGACTGGGAGCCTTTGCATGTGAATAAGAATTCTTTTGTACTAACCTGACAAGTGGAGCAAAAGAATGGCAAGCAGCTCCTGCTGATTTAAGTGACCTAGTAGAACTCGTTTGTAATGCTGCTGTTAGAACAGAGTTACTTAGAACTATTGTTGATTATAGCAGTGCGGGGTATCTATTACTAGATGTTACCTTTTTCATTTGAGGTAATTTTTGAGGTCACAGATCTGTTCAGCAGTGAATTATCCTACTGGTGAAACTGCTGTATTATTATTTCAGACAAGGCAGA